CGGCCATTTTGAATTGAATCGCTAAACCACTGCATGTGCATATGCCCCACATAAAGTACGAGGCACATGCAAAGAATGAACGGAATCGGTCCAAGGGATTCTGAGATATGACTCCGGACGGTCGCACAGACGCAAAGACGCACGGACGGAGACCGAATTACAAGTCCCTGTTTTCGGACTTCGTCTGAACGGGGACTAAAAACATCATACATTGCCCTTTGATTTGAACAAGACTTGACACATCCATCAATCCACAGACAGACAGGAATTAAGTTTTGTAATTCAAGATATTTACCTGTGTCAGAGTGCTGATTCTTTGTTGATGTGTAATGGTCTGGGATGCATATTTGTGATTTTTATCTTTCAAACTTTCAATTTCTTTTTTGTACCCTTCAACATTTGACTGCAGAATATTGAATCTTTCACTCGAGAACTCAAGCTGCAATATAATTATTAAAAGAATTGATGGTTCATTTTAGTTGTTGAAAAAATAAACATCTGTAACAGTGTCTCATTCAGTATTTACAAGTACCGTAAAATCTGTATTAGAAGCCGCAACCCTAATAGAAGTCAGGCCCATTGTTTTTTGAGTAATTGAGTATCAAAAATTCACCATTTCTTATAGGTGTAGATGCTCTAATAGAAGCCGCATCCCCTCTGTTGCTTCGTATCAATTTAATAGAAGCCGCCATGACTAATCAATGAAGAAAAGCTGCTGTGTTCCAATATTTCAGAATTTATTGCCAAAAAAAAAATGATTTTCACATTTGTCATGGCGATCACAGTAATCAATGGAAGGAGTTCTATTAACCAAAGCTGCAATGTAAGTTTAATTATTGTTTTACCTGTGACAATAATTTTGCATTTTGAACCCTCATATCAGACATGTCACTACGAAGCTTGTCCATCTGATCATTAATTATTCTGAAAAAGACAAAAAACAAATTTTTTTGTTAATGTCTTGCATATTGGATATTTTTTTAAGGGGCAGTGGTCGTCACGCTGAGTCTTGTTTGATATGGCGCGACGTAAACAACGTGTGTAGAGTATGTTTGTTTTTTATATGAAATTCAATCATGCGCTGCACGATGACCATTACCTTTTAACATGGAAGAATTCCAGGATGCCTATTGAGCGAAACGCACCTCAGATGCAAAATGATTCTTGCAACAAAAACATCAAAAAACAAAGAAAATGGTTAATTTTTCATCTTGCAAGAATCTCACAACAAATTGTGTATCCTTGTACTTACTTTTCATTTTCAGCTTTTTCTTTACGGTATGTTTCAAACTCTTTATTGAGCTGGCCGAGTGCTGCCTTGGCCTCAGCCGTAGCTGTACTGTCTGCTGTGTCGCCGCTACCGAGGGGACTCGTTTGGGAGGGTGGAGCTGGGGTTGACATGGCAAGAGGACTGTGAGAACCTGGAGTCATTAACTAAAAAAAAAAAAAAAATTATACATGTATAAACTTAGATATAACCTTGAGTTACGGGATTACTGAATTCTTATTCTCACATGGTTGTCTTAGCGACAGTACACTGTCAACAAAATCTATGTCAGGATGACTAAAACAGACATTTTTGCTTTTAACAAAAGCAACAGAGACCTTGTGCAAAATTACGTTACATTCCCTATCTAGCAAAATTCACAAACTCTTGTCTCTGGTGAAACCTTTTAACAATATAAAGCTTCTAAGCAGGAACACAGACTTACTGGTATTGTTGCATCACCTCTCTGGGCCAGCAATACTCTGTACATGTCTCTCTGCCTTACAATGCCTTCAACCATTTCAGCCTTGTCTGTTTCTGGAAGTTCTCAATTCGTCAATTTCTTCTAAAGCCTTCTCCAATTTTTCATGCACTTCAGAGAGTCTATAATATAATAATAAAATGTGTAATCAGTGTTATAAGTGTTACAAATGGAGTGGAAGAAGCATGCATCAATGTGCTCATCAAATACGGGATAGAATCAAGATATGGTATGCAGGATTTTCCTTAAGATTTTGATTGAAGATTAATCAAAGTTATTGGGCATCTACACATGCTATGTTAATGTTACAGGATCTTGGCCAGTTCTGAACATTTTTGTTCATGTTTGCAGATGGATTACAGCAGTTGCATTCATGTTAATCGGAACGTTAATTGGGACGTAAATCAGGAGCACTTCGGATCGTGCCAAAATTGCACACTCATACACCTGTATTTTTGTTCCTAGTTGAGCTGTCATTGTGAATGTCATCTATTTTGGCATCCGACCATATCTTTCTCAACAAGCTTGCTGCACTTATCTCCATCGACAGGTTATATGAATTAGTATATGTTCTATTGATTAAGTTCACCACCAAGGTTATGATTTCGGTTCATACAGCGAATCTCAGAATGTGCAGAGTTCAGATCCCAGCACCCTATTGGGACTGAGATCAAGTTTCTTTCGGCATGTGGCCAACTGATCTCATTGGCTGATTGACATCATTAAATAATTGATCTCATTGGCTGATTGACATTATACAATTGATCTCATTGGCTGATTGACATCATTAAACAATTTATCTCATTGGCTGATTGACATTAAACAATTGATCTCATTTATATTACAATGTATCAAATAAAAAATTGGGATCAACAGCTCAAGTTCCGGGTGCGGTTTATATTAGGGACATATTGCAATCACTAAATGGGCGTGGTCATTTTTTTTCCCCACATCACTCGCACAAAACAAACAATACACCGTACAATCTTTTGAATATAAGCGTAACTCTAATTTAGATGTCAGGGAAGAGTGATAATCCTCACGTCACAAAAAAACTGTTCACATGAAAAAAAAATACTCTGTATATTTAATGTAATATGCATTTTTCTTTTTTTTTTTCTTCTTAACGGAAAGTATATTCTGA